GCTTGCTTTGTATTGGCAGAGTTGCCCGGAGTCGCGTGCCCAGAGCTCCTTGCAGTGTGTTGTTGCTCGTGCTTGAAAGCAGCAGCATTCCTTTACACCGAATGGTCACACGGATCGTTTGTTCACGTTGCAGAGCAAGAGATTCTAAAAACTGGTTTTACGTGCATTTGGAAATCATGTTATGCATTGTTTTGGTCGATTTACATTAAAAATGTGTAGCATGGCATGACAAACTTGAAACCATAATCCGTATCCAAAACAAAACAAAAAACTACTTGTATTGTCTGGTAGGGTTTGAAAGAATCACATTTAGCGCAATACTGCTCACTGCATCAGAAATGGCATTGGTATTTCACACTTCTTACGGCAACGCAATTATCTTCACATTGGCGACACATCCGAGTCCATCTGAATGTGATGAAAGCCACTACCAGCGCTAAAAGATTCCATAACCAGTAACAATTTCGTGAGCACCGACAACCTTTGCCCGTTGCGGTGTGTCTGGGTTTGAACAATCGTGCATCGGACGGACCACTGGAGCACGGCTTATGGTCACCGTTCTGCCGTACTGCCGCGGCCGCAACAGGCGAATGACGACAGAAGCGAAACAGTCTTCCTGTCTGTCATTCGGTGACAGGGGGCCGGCCAGGCTGTCCTGTGTCTGTCGGTCGCGACACTTCTGCCACGCCCCTGTTAACTCTCTGGGACTGACTGAGAAGTACCGACTGAGGAGAACACGCAGACTTTATCTGACTAACGCCACTGTTTTCGGGCAAAGCCATGCGCTCAGGTCGGTCGGCTCGGGCTGAACCGGAACTTGCATGGGTCTCGACAGCTCCACCAGAGGTGATCCGCCCACTTCACTGCTCTACTCGCTCTTTTGTGTCTGATGGCGCTGGCACACCTGTGCGCCGCGCCGGTTAGAACAGCAATGGACGGATGGCTTGTGATCCGGATAGCTCGGCGAGTGTTCTGCTCGTGATAACTTTCCGAGTGCACTGGCCGTAAAAATGAACACCATTTGCGTCACACAATCAGCCGTAACTCACTCCAACTATTCACAGTGAATCCGTGTCTGAAAATAAGTGGCCGCGGTGTTCCCACCGTGGCCACGGCTCGCTGACATCCGCCGGGCCGTCAGCTCCATTCTGACTTTGTCCTCGTGTAAACGTGCACACTGCGCAGTCGGAAAGACAGCCGGGAGGTGTCTGGTGTTATTTGGGCCGTGCTCTGCCGGCCCGTCGGTGCTGGTCTTTTGTATAACTGCTGGCCTGGCTGGAAAGGGTCTGTCCTCTAGGTCCCTCGCTGAGCTGGACAGGGTTTAGCGTCCCTCGCCGGAATATCTTTCGTTCCTCGCTGGAGAGGACCCGATTCTCCAGCGTGATACCTCACCTCACCGCCAAACAGGCATCCTGTCCTGGAGGCCTGGCCTCTGTGTGGGACGTCCCCCGCCAACCACACCTCCTGCCAACCTCCCCTCCCCTCTCCTCCCCCTCCCCTCCTCTCTCCTCCCCTCCCCTCCCCTCCCTCCCCTCTCCTCTCCCCTCCTCTCCCCTCCCCTCCCCTCCCCTCCCCTCCCCTCCCCGTCACGGCTGTCTCCAACGCCTCGCTTACGACCGGGCGTGGTATGCGGTGCTGGCGAGAGTATGCACCGTGTTCCGGCTGCGGTCGGTGAAGTAGTGCCGACACCGTACTCACTCCTCACAGTGCCAACTGGGTCTGTCGTAATGACCACCACACGACGTCGCCATCCGGTATTGATATCCCGACATCCATTGAGTCCCGATCGTATGTATCGCGCCCTTCGTCTGCCTCGGCGTCCGCTGCAGCTTCGGCTCGGGTTCCGGCGTCTGCTATTTATTTATTTTGTCGTCCGTCGAGTAGCATTATTTACATAGCGTAAATAGTGTATGGGTCGTGCTGACGTCGGCGGTCGGCGGAGCTAGCTGTTGACCGACGGGTGGCGGGATGGTGGGATGAACGCTAGCACGGTGGGATGGTGGGAGGGGTGCTGGCACGTCGGGATGATGGTCGAACTGACAGGCATTTTCATGGTGGGATGATGGGACATCCGCCGATACGGTGGGTGTTAGGAACCATGGGAACTCTGATCGCACACGCTGTCTGGAGTGTGATGGTGCCAGTCAGGCTCCGTCACCGCTGTGTGTTTTACTCAGTTTGTCCCAAGGAGGCAGCGACTCGCTGAGCCCAGCCTCGTCGGATGCGAGAGTGTGGCACATACTCCGGCTCAGTGGGCCGGCGCGGCGGTTCCCGGTCGGCCGCTCAGTGAATGCGATTGCCGTGTCGCTGTCTGGTAGCTCCACCACCGACTGAGTCCAGCAGGGCCCGAAATAGGGCGACATTTACGTGAGCCGGCACCGCCGCCTGTCCGCGTGTCCAGTGAGCTGTCCGGAGTGATTTGTTACGGGAACTGGGTGAGGACAGCGGTCGTCGAGACAAGGGTCACTTGGAGGCATTGGTTCATATGGGCTCGGCCCGGAGCTGAACAGATTGCATAAATTGGGTTCAGACTTCAGGTGGGGAGTGATTTGGTGCTTTGCTGGTGTGTTGTTTATTTGATGTCGTGTTTGCACCGACTTTGAGCGGCCAAAGCTGCTGAAGACTCTCGTTCTAAGGGAGGACTGTATAGTGAAGAACTCGCTCCGTGGAGCCCGTGAGTTGAGACCCACAGAGTCACAGACTCTGTCACAGACTCTGTGGGTCTGTGAGGCTCGCTCTACGGGACTGAACTGTGGATTCCGCTCAGTGGGTCTGCGAGATCCATTCTATGGCACTGCGAATTCCGCTCTATGACTCTCTGAGGCCCGCTCTATGAGACTGGATTCCGCTCCTTGGGCCTGTGAGGTCCATTCTTTGGGACTGCGGATTCCGCTCGGCGGTCCGTTCACGGCCGCTGGGCTAATGGTGTGCCGCGGCTGGCGACTGGCCAGCGGCGCCGGAAGGCTGCCGCGGCCGCCGGCCCAGCTCGGAGCGCTGTCCTGCGCGCCTGTGTGGACCGGGAGTCGGCTGAGCGCCTGTGCCGGTCGGAGTCGGGAGCTCGGAGCGCTGTCCTGCGCGACTGGGCAGGTCGGGAGTCTGCGGAGCGCCTGTTCTGTGCCGTTCGGGAGTCGAGAGCTGAGAGTGGTGTCCTGCGCGCCGGGGTGAGTTGTGAGCTCAGAGGGCTGTCCTGCGCGACTGGGCGGTCGGGAGTCGGCGGTGCGCCTTGGGAGTCGTGTCGGGGCTCTCCCCGTGGTCGGTGCATCGTCCGTACGGTCAGTGGGGATGGTGCTACTGTGGGAGACTGCCGACTGGGTCAGTCGGCTGGGACGGAGTCCGTGCAGGTCAGCGGGACAGTCTATGGTGCTTTTAGCGGAGTAACGTGGCGTTAGGCAGGCTGGAAGGGAAACCCTGCTGGTGACAATTGATTTGCTAGCAGTGCATTGGTCTGGCTGTTATTGATTTCCCGTCTCGTCCAATTATTCGCGATTCGCTGAGCTCACTGTTGTATTGATGTTTTCCATTGATGATCCGTCTGATATTTACGAGTCATGATCTCCGTAGATGTATGAGTAATTGTTTTCGCAGAGATCTGACAAGATTGTGTCTTGTGTTTCGTATCCCGCGCAGCGTATGACAAATGACCGGAGCGTATGTTTCGTAACAGTTCGGTATTCGACTTTGTGCCGTATATTGGACCTTGTGACCGGTGGGGCTGCACTCTGGGCTGCTGTTAGAGATGCTCCGCTCACAGGCGAGGTCTGGCCTTTGTCTGAAAACACCGCCTCGGCTTTGCTTACGTTTCACGAGGCGAGGCTGTCATTGAGCGGAATGTGTGCCGAACAGCGCGGCAGACAGACACACAAACACGCCGCTGTGTGTGGAGCGGACGGATGAGTGGAGTGGATCGCGGTGTCGAGTGGTGGTTTGTGTGTTTTATGCGCCCTGCTCAGTGTTCCATTTTTCAGAATTTTTGGTGGCAAATCACACCTAATGGGGAAAATACTTTCATCCCTCAAATATGAATGACCGACTTTACTTCATCTCTGAAAAAGTTTCATGTATTCCCGACAGCCATGCTTACGACACACGCTCTTCCAGTGTGGAAAGCTATTTTCTAATTGTATTCGACATGATAGAAGTCTTCAAAATTGTCAAGGGCTTTGATGTGGTGAAAGCTGGTGATAAGTTTCTTCAAATGGACGCTGGACCACGCAGCGACAGGACTCGCGGCCACTCACTTAAACTCGCCAAGCCAAGACACAGAACCCTCAAGAGAACCATGTTCTTCTCATCACGAGTTGTTGACCACTGGAATAATTTGCCTGAAGAAGTGGTAGAAAGTCCCAGCATCAGTTCATTCAAAAACAGATACGACCAATACATGAATAGACAGTGAGAGAGGCAGCATCCCATGAGCCCAGCTCCCTTGCCTCTTATCCTACATTCTAGGTAAGAATTCTAGGTAAGCCAGTTTACATGCCACTTGACAGTTGATGCACCCAACGTCCCACATCCTTTTGTCCAACACCCTGTCAAGATTCTGACATGGTCTTGGTTTAGCAGTTGGCATACAAATTGGGATTACACCATTTTACAACTATATTTCGGTTATTTATTTCCTTTTTTCTCATCCTAGGATTTTTTCTCTTCATCGGCACACCCAACCAAAATCCAATTTTAGAACACTGGCCCTGCTTGACTTGATCGGTCATCCTTCAAGTGCGCTGGCTCTGCAGGTCCCGAATACTGCTGGTTATCTGTGTGACTATGTGCTGTAGCTCTGCATTGTGCCCTCCGTGGAGTTTCACCATTCACCATGTCTCACTCTGCAGTGTCTGTCTTTTGTGGCCCGTATTAGAGACATGTCATGCTCCCTGTGCAATGTGCATGTGTGGTTTCCCGTGTCTAATTGGTACTGCAGTACATAGGTGCATGGTGTGCCGCTTTGACTACCTGTCATGGCCAGCCTCACTGACTCCATTGTCCCTGTTTTCCCCCAGGACGTGTGCCGGCGCCGTGGGCCGGCCGGTGATGTCTCCCGCTCATCCCTCTGACAGAGCGGCTCGGTCATGACGGACGCGCCCGGTGCCGAGCCGGCCGCCTCTGCTGCCGCCTCCGCCTCGCGGCTCGATGGCAAGCCGTTCTTCTGCCGCCAGTGGGCCTTCACAAAAATCTCTCAATGTCTGCAGCACAAACAGAGCAAGTTAGGCGGTGCGCTGGTGGTGGGCGGCGTCGGCTCGGGCAAGACGGCGCTCTGCAGCGAGTTAGCGCGTCCGACGGCCGCCACCGGTCGCCAGCTGTCCCTGCATGCGCGGCTAGTGGCGCACCATTTCTGCCGCACCGAGCAGGCGGACTCGCTGCGCGCCGGCACGTTCGTGCTGCAGCTGTCAGCGCAGCTGGCGCGCAGCCGACTGCTGCCCGGTTACGCCGAGAAGCTGCGCGACCCGGACGTGAGCGCGGTGCTGACGCCGGTGTTCTGCAGCCGCCAGCCGGAGGAGGCGCTGCGCCGCGCGGTGCTGTTCCCGCTGTTGGAGCTGGACGAGCCGCCGCAGCCGCTGCTGTTCGTGGTGGACGGTGTGGATGACTCGCACCGGGCGGCGTCCGGCGGCGCGGGCAGCGTGGCCGCTTTGCTGGCCAGTCACCAGCACCTGCTGCCGCGCTGGCTGCTGCTGGTCGTCACCGCTCGACGCTCCAGTCGGGATGTCACGCGGCTGTTCGCCGGCTTCAGAAAGGTGGGCACTGGGCAGACGTGACGGGGAATCCTGGGGACGGTAACAGTATAATCCGGCCTGCGATAACTAGCATACGCCTTAGAGAACGGTTGGCTTGTGTGGAACTGAGATGGCACATTTGCCACTACTCAGTGAGATTAAACAAGTGATGTTTTGACATTTTTTTAAGTCGTTGATCCAAGGTTCTTAAATATTTTTAAGTTGTGAATTCATTACTCATCAGGTGTGGCTGACATTTTACTCACAAAAGTCATGCTAACGTTATGTCTGTGGATCGCCTCTGGCGCTGTCATCTGAGACCCTCTCTCTTATGTGTCATTGACAGATTGTGCTGGACGACCTGCGGAAGGCGAATGTGGTCACCGACCTGCAGCAGTACATCCTCAGCCGTCTGGAGCGCGAAGCGGCGCTACGCCAGCACCTCAGCCACGAGACTGCCGAGATGCTCAACCAGCTCCACATCAAGAGCAACGGTTGCCTGCTCTACCTGGAGAAGGTTCTCAGTGGTGTGTCAGAGGGCTTCATCCGGCTCAGTGAGGTCCGAGAGATACCCGGCACCCTGAACGGGCTCTACCTGTGGCTCAGTCAGCGGCTGTTCACCAAGAAACACTTCCACAAGGCGCTGCCGGTGTTAAACGTGTTGTTGGCGGCGCTTCGACCACTGCCTGTGAGCACAATATTCGAGTGCGTGCGGCTCAAGAACGCGGCGGTGACGTGTGACGACTTTGAACGGCGTCTCTCCGTGCTGGCGCGTCTCACGGTGGATACGACTGACGGCGCGCGGCTACTGTTCCACCACAGCTACGCCGAGTGGCTGACTGACGTCAAATACTGCACGCAGCGCTTCCTGTGCCAGCCGGAGGCCGGCCACGGCATGCTGGCCGCCTGGCTGCTGCGGCGGGCGCCCCAGCTGGCACCGGACGAGGTGCAGCTGCTGGCTGAGCACCTGGTGCGGATGGAGCCGGGCCGGCCGCCGGCTGAGCCGGACCTGCTGCCGCTACTGCTGCTCTGGTCCGGCGCAGAGGTGGAGACCTGTCTCCAGGACGGACAGCCCGACTCGCCGGTCACACTCGAACTGCTGCAGCGGGCGGGAGCGGAGACGGTGCCCCTCACACTACCAGACAGCCGACAGGCGAGCGTGGAACCGACAGGAGACGATCGGCTGGCTCCACCGGCGGCTGAGGCACAGCCGGGGCTGGAGCTGGAGCCAAGCTCCGAACTGGAGCCGGCGCTCAGCTCTGAGCTAGCGCTGAGCTCTGAACCAGACCGAGCGCCGAGCTCGGAGCTAGAACTGGAGCCGGAGCCGGAGGCGGCGCCTAGCTCTGAGCCGGAGCCGGGGCTGGAGAGTGAGCGGGACGCGGACAGTGACGGCCGACTACTGGAGATGTACCTGGCGGAGGGCGAGCCGGCCGAACCCGCCGCCGAGCAGGCGCTACTGCTGTCGGCGGCGCGGCAGGGCGACGCCGGCCTGGTGGCGCTGCTTCTCCGCCGCCGAGTGCCCGCCGACTGCGCGGACGCCGCCGGCCAGTCCCCGCTCACACTCGCCGCGAGACACGGCCACGCTGACGTCGTGGCGGCCCTGCTCTCTGCCGGCGCGGCGCCGGACCGGCCGGACGCCGACGGCTGGACCCCTCTGCGCTCGGCCGCCTGGGCCGGTCACACAGCCACGGTGCAGCTACTGCTCAGTGCCGGCGCTACCGTGGACAGTGTGGATGGTGAGCAGAGAACAGCTCTGCGCGCCGCCGCCTGGGCCGGACACGATGACATCGTATCAGCTCTTCTCTCAGCTGGTGCAGATGTGAACGGCACTGACCGCGAGGGACGTACGGCGCTGATCGCCGCCGCCTACATGGGTCACGTGGAGATCGTTCGCCGTCTGCTGGACGCCGGGGCGGACATTGACCATGCTGACGGTGACGGTCGCACCGCACTGGCCGTGGCCGCGCTGTGTGTGCCTGCCTGTGAGGGCGCCGGACGCGTGGTGGCGCTGCTACTAGAGAGGAACGCTAACGTGAACCATGAGGATCGCGAGGGTATGACTCCGCTGCTGGTCGCCGCCTTCGAAGGGCACAGGTGAGAAAAGTGGTGGACAGGGGAAGGGTGGGGCCGGGAGTGGCCTTGAGCTTCCGGGAAGTGCGGTTGAAAACTTTGAAATCCCGGGACTGGGATAGCTAAAACGTTTGTGATTTCTCCTATGTGGTTACTGTCACAGACGCCAGCTCAGCTCCATGACAGTTATGTCCCGCTTCAGTCGTTTGTAGAGCTGTCAATGACATGCACCTGTCGCTTCAGCGATGTGTGGCCCAGGGCCCGGCCCTCCATCTACTCCCTAATGCGGCCTCTGACCCTCCCATCTGTCCGCCCCAGACTGCATGCAATCCTGATTCCTCTCACAGGGACGTGTGTAGCCGTTCTCCGTCCTTTCTGGACTCTGGTTGTATAACTCTCTCCGCCCACTCGTAGGGACGTATATGAGCTGTTATTAGAGGCGGACGCAAACCACTCGGTCTGAATCTGACTCCCCTCCCTCTCCTCTCAGGGATGTATGTGAACTGCTTCTGGAGGCGGACGCGGACGTGGATCACTCTGACGGCGCCGGCCGGTGCGCGCTCTTCGCCGCCGCCTCGATGGGCCACCACACCGTGGTACAGCTGCTGCTGTTCTGGGGCTGCTACTGCGACACCATCGACCCAGAGGGACGCACAGTGCTCAGTGTGGCTGCCGCCCAGGGCTGTATTCAGACTGTCCGCCTGCTGCTAGACCGGGGTCTAGATGAGGGTCACCGCGACAACGGCGGGTGGACACCGCTTCACTATGCCGCCTACGAGGGACACGCCGATGTGATTGACGCTCTTCTAGACGCCGGTGCTCGAGTCAATGAGGTAGACAATGACGGAAAGCATGCGCTGATCCTGGCGGCTCAGGAGGGTCACGTATCGGCTGTGGCGGCGCTGGTGGAGCGCGGTGCCGATGTCAATCTGCGCTCACATGACGGCAAGACTCCCCTGAGAATGGCAGCGCTGGAGAGGCATAAGGACGTGGTGCATTATCTGGTGTGCAACGGCGCTGACGCCAGTTATCGTGACATGGACGGACGGAGTACGCTCTATCTGCTGGCTCTGGATAACCGGACTGCGATGGCAGCGTTCCTCCTGGACAGCGGAGCGGATGTCGAGAGCTGTGACCTGGAGGGACGCACTGCGCTGCACGTCAGTGCCTGGCAGGGGCATACGGAGACTGTGCGTCTACTGCTGCAGCGCGGGGCAGACCCTGACGCCATTGACGCCGAGCGTCGCACGCCTCTGATCGGCGCCGCCTGGCAGGGCCGCCCGGCGGTGGTGCGCGCGCTCCTGGCGCATGGCGCGACTGTGGACCACACCTGCAGCCAGGGAGCGACCGCGCTCTGCATCGCCGCTCAGGAGGGACACCTCGAGTGTGTGCGCGTGCTGCTGGACCATTTCGCTGACCCAAATCACTCAGACATGCACGGCAGGAGCGCGCTCAAAGTGGCGCTCAAGGGCCGTCACGAGGCGGTAGTGCGTCTACTGGAGGAGTATGGGGCCAGCAGCGCCGCACCGCCGCCCCAACCGCCGCCGCTGCCGGTCCACCAGCCGCCCTGCCACGCGAGCGCCAGTAACGCGTCCATGAACTCAGTCTCGACCGCCGAGACGAAGCCGAGCAGTGCGGCGCTGGGTGGCGCCTCCCCAGTCGATTCTCCCTCCTCGACGTTCGAAAAGCGCCAGTCGTGCGCCTCATTCGGCAATCACTCTCACTCCAAGTCTAGCAGTAATCTGACCGACTCGACGGGCAAATCGTCACAGACGTCTCAGCCGGCCGCTGACGCTTCGCCGACTCCGGCGGCCGTCTCTGGCGGGCTGTCGTTCACTCAGCAGCTGCAGCGATGTCGGCGGCGCGGCGGTCGGCCCGTGGAGACCTCCACCGTCGCCGAGTCGCCGCCGTGCAGCCCGGCGGAGCGGCGCTCCACGCCCGTCAGTCCGCAGGCGCACCTGCCGCTCATCTACGCGGACCCTCACGACTCGCGCGCGCCGTCGGCTGCCGTGCGACCACGCACATCGGCACCGTTCACATTCGACCAGAACGAGCACATGCGTATCATTCTGGGAACCAAGAGTGGCAGCAGCTCGGTTTCCTCAGAGTCGCGGCCGCGCCGCGGGCTGGCCGCCCAGGCCAACTCGGGTCTCAAGGCGGGTGCGGCGGCGCTGCGTGCGCGAGCGGCTCCCTCCAAACAGAGGGCGTCTGCGCTGGCCTCTGACGGCTCCTCCAACGGGTTTCACCTGCGCCGAGAGACGCCACTATAGCAGCGCCGGTAAGTGACTGGACGGATGAATGAGTTAGTGAATGTTGAATGCAATGATGGAATGCAATGAATCAATGCAATGAGTAGATACAATGAGTGAATAAATACAATGAATGAATGAGGTCAGGAAGTGAGACTAAAGAAAGGTTGGTTTTGACAATGACTCAAATGTCGATTTCCATTGTCTTGAACATAATTGGATTTTTTTTTATTGTAGGATTTCGATAATGTTTCGAATAAATTGCGGGGGATAAACTTCCAAGTATCTTAATTTTGGTCGGCCTAGGAAATTGTCAGTGGTGTCTCCGTGTCTTCTAGATTATTTTAACACTATAGTCTCTAGCTGGCTTATGCATGCGTGTATGCCCCCTCGCTCGACTTGCCCTCAAGTATCCTAGTCCTTTTGCTATTTAAGTTACGGTTTCTACTATCTAGGGAGATACTACAACTCTTTTTTTACTACAAATAACTTGTGCCACTTTTTGGCCCTTAAAGGTAGTGTGCCACCTTCCAATGATTTCCCATTCTATTTTTCCTAGGATAAGAAGCTTCTGTTTTACCTAATATCGCAAAAAAATCAAAAATGGGCCTGGAATAGTGCCTTTTTTGCCTAAAAGTTTATCGGTTTTTCGATATGTATAACAACTGTAGTGGGCTGACCTGCAAACAGGCGTCGGCAACAATCGCGAATGCGGCGCACATGTGACAATAAGCAAGGGTCATTATAGAGTTACGACGTACGGGAATGAGTTATCAGCTGTCTAATCGTATACAACACAATGTGGAACTTAAACTGTAAGCCTGTATTGGTATTGTTTCTTTAATTTGGCTGTCGAACATTAATTTATGGTTTGAAATATGATTTTATGTGAAATAATTGATATGAAACAGCCGTCTCTTAAGTTATGACCCCATTTCACCACACGCAAGTGGCAGAAAGGACAATGATCAGCTGACGCATTTTTCTGGGCCGAAGTCAGAGCGCGCGGCCCGACGCACCACGCGTATTTGGAAATTCCGACCTCGACGAGCATCAGAAGCCACCTAACAGGCGTGTTCGAAACCGCAGGAGATGATGATGAACGGGTTTATCGAAACTTGATTGGATGAGCCCATCGGTAATAGCGATTTTAGTGTGTGCATTTATTGCTCATAGTGGTGTGAAATGTGGTTGGGGTACGACCGACAACCCGTCGGGGCGAATTTCGCACTGGAGTACTCAAAATTTGAAGAATTTAACCCTAGAACGCCTAGGGGGGGGGGGTTGTATCAACCCCCCCTGAGGTTTTTTCGAAGTGCACGCTAAACGGCTTGTCGTAGCAGGCTGAAATTTTCAATACCCTCTGGGGCAACCTTTGCGCATCTTTTGCCGAAAAAAAATTGATCGGGTCATGTCAGGTCACGGAGTTATGACGTCATAAGAGGTACAGCCTCCGGCCGACAGTTACCAAACGTGTGCGCCGAATCCCTAGGTTTTCTGCCGGTGATACCCACATTGTTTGATGGATCATGATGAAACTTCCCATGCATGTTGGGGCAAGCATTGGCTATCGTGTGGTGCAAGAAAATTGACCGGGTCAGGTCAGGTCACGGAGCTATGACGTCACAAGAGGAACAGCGTCCGGTACTATTTTTGAAAAGCGCCCGAACCACTATTTTGCTAATTCTTGTCGCCTCAATGGGAATATGCAGCAATATTAGCTTCTATAGGGAGCAAATGGACCTCCCAAATCCAAAAATACAATCAGATTTCAAAAATTTAAATTTTGATTTTTCGAATTTCTGCCGCCGACTGTGACCTTGCCGACTTCCGGCGCTCCCAACGCGCCATTTTTAGAGCTAGGGAAACGAAATACATACCAAACGATAGAGAATTGATCAAGGAACACGATAGTGAAGGTTTCAAGTCGATATCTCCCACCGTTTTGCCGCAATCGCCGCGGAAAGTTGAAAAAGTTTGATTTTTTCGGAAAATTTGACCTTTGACCGGTCATAAGTAGGTCAAATGTTGACCTAGGACCAAAAAATATACCACCAATCGCGAGATCTCGTTGAGAGCAATCCGTTGGTTTTTTTCCGCTAAGCTCTACGACCTTCCGTTTCGAAACGCCAGGGGGGGGGGGTCGTAACAACCTGGTCGTTCGTGTTATGAGAAATGGCCTGGTCGTGCGAGGGTTAAGACGTTTCCATGAGTTTTGAAGGTATGGATAAGTTCTAAAAATCCGGTTCTCCTTATCCGGGTCATTAACTCCATATGGTCTGTGGTGACGTAGCCCTTGCCCTCTGAACTTTGTGCAGTAGACTAGGTGGCGCTGAGCTCGTTGCGCTCGTGGGCACGGTGCGGCCGTGCAGCAGTCGGGCAGCGGCCCCCGCCGGATACCGATCACCAATACAGGACTACGTTATTCAGAACGCTGTGTGAGATCGCGGACCGAGATCGCGGACCCGGAAGCTGGAACGAACTCAGCCGCGGATACTAGCGGCGTAACAACTTGGCGACGAGGACGAGATTCGCTTAGTGGTGGTCTCGGAAGGACAAGTGGCGTTCTCACGGATTTGGCGTTCTGGTGGTGCGGCACCGGTGGCCGACGCGGATATACGTCACGGGGAAGTGACAGCGTCGGGACTCGGACAAACTCGTTTGGCGTGCTGGATGGTGCAGTGCGCGGCGGTCGGCGCGGATATACATCACGGTGAAGTGATAGCGTCGGGCCGGGTGATATTGCTTAGTGCTTAGTTCTGCTTAGTGCTTAGTATTTTTTATACTGCTGCATAATTTTGTGCATTAACGCTGTCAGCTCTGCCGCTGCGTTTCGCTGTATCGTTGTTGGGAACATTTGTATTGCACCTCCGTGTTGGGTGAACAGTGGTGCGGGCGGCGACGGCGGCCGCTGGACTCTGAACTTTGGACTCTGCTCGGTGTGGCGTGACTGGTGAGTCAGCGCGGTCAGTGCAGTGTGCAGTGCCCGACCCCGGTGCAGGCTCGGGGCGGTGGCAAACATGGCGGCCGGACTGCCGAGCGTGGCTCCTTTTGCAAAGGGGATGGACTTTAGCCGGTGGCTGAAGGGTCTGGAATTCTACGCCGAGGCGATGGACATAACAGACGACCGGCGGCGGACTGCAGTCCTGCTCCATCTAATGGGGCCGAACATCCAGGACGTGTTCGACACCCTGCCGGAGCCGACCGCGGCTGCAACGGCTGCAACGTCACAATACGACACCGCTGTGGCTAAACTACGCCAATATCTGCAGCCGACGTCTAACCTTATGGCGGAACGTGTAACGTTCCACCGCACGAGCATGTACGCCGGCGAGTCATTCGACGCGTACCTGGCTCGTTTGCGGGCGGTGGCTGGGCGGTGCGGGTTCCCGGCGGCTGACCTCGACCGTGAGCTCCGGGACAGGAGCGTGGCCGGCGCGACTCCACAAATTCAGGAGCGACTGTTGCAGACGGTCGGAACCAAAGGAGACAACTTTTCACTGCAAGATCTGCAGGCTACGGCTCGTGCATACGAGCAAACGCAAATGCTAGTGACGCAGTTCCGTAATGCGTCTCTGAGCACGGACGGCGTCGGACGGTCAACCACCGCATTGGACGAGCGGCCAGAGGTCGACGTGGTGACCTCGGGACCGGATCAGCTGAACGCTGTCCGGCAACAGCGCACGGCTGACGGTAACCGGAGCCGCCAGCGGCGCACGGTCCGCTGCTACCGCTGCGGTGCGGCGGGACATTTTCAGCGGGACTGTCAGGAGAGCCGACGCCCGGATGAGTCAGCGCGTGCGGCACCAGCGTCACGGCGGCCGACGGGGCCGGGGCGCCGGGAATCTGACACTCGTGGGTCCGACGGGGTCAGACCGGCACCGGAGACGCGGCGGTGCTACCGCTGCAAGCAGATCGGACATCTGCGCAGTCAATGCCGACAGCAGCCTGCCACGGCGGACATGTGGGGGCTGGGGAAGATAAACGCTGTTAACCTAACGGAGGCGGTTAAAATGACTTTACCGGTGAACGGGGTGGCCATCAAAATGGTGGTGGACACCGGCAGCCCTATCACTGCTGTGGGGCGGGACACGGTCATCCCGCGGCTGCGATTGAAACCTACTCAGCTACAGCTGTCGTCATTCACTGGTCACCGGATCCCTCTCCGGGGTGAGGCAGACGTCTCTGTAAGGTTTCGCGGTCGGGACCATCGACTGCGACTGGTCGTGGTGGACCTGCCTGGCGATCGCCGTCTGCTAGGCCGCGACTGGCTGCGGGCTCTGGACATCAGTGTGGGCGGCGGAGAGACGGCGGTGATGGACGTCACTCCGGACCGAGGGACGGCGGACCTGGAGGCGGTCTGTAACAGGCACAAGTCGGTGTTTGACGGCACACCGGGGCGCATCAGTGGAGTAAAGGCGCACCTGACACTGAAACCGGATGCACGGCCGGTGTCACGGCCGGTGCGCTCGCCTCCATATGCACTGAAACCGGCCGTCGAGCAGGAGCTCGACCGCTGGGTGCAGGCCGGGATCGCGGAAAAAGTCGGTCCAAACGACGCGCCCGGCTGGGGAACACCACTGGTGACGGTGCCACGGGCTGATGGCGGTGTGCGTCTGTGCGGTGATTATCGACTGACGGTAAACCCGCAGCTGCAAATGGCGACGCATCCTACGCCATCCGCCGAGGACATCTTTGCGAGCGTCCGAGGACGGCGGTTCTGCAAACTGGACCTGAAAGACGCCTTCCTGCAGCTGGAGCTCGCGGAGGAATCGCGGGATATGACAACAGTCGTCACGCACCGAGGACGGTATCGGATGAAATCCCTACCGTTCGGCATATCGGCGTGCAGTTCGGTGTTTCAGGCAGCAATCGATCACATCCTGGATGGCATAGACGGGTGTGTGGCCTATCAAGATGATCTGCTGGTGACGGCGGCGAACATGACAGACCTGTGCGTGCGCTTGGATGAAGTGCTAACTCGGCTGGAAGCTCATGGAGTGAAGCTGAAACGGGAGAAGTGTCAACTTGGACTCGACGAGGTGCAGTACCTCGGCTGGCGCATCTCAGCACAGGGGCTGCGTCCAGTACAGGAGAAAGTTGACGCAGTGATCGACATGCCGGACCCTAAGGATGTGAAAAGTCTGCGCAGCATCTTGGGGAGCATCAACTTCTACCAGCGCGTGCTTCCCAACCTCTCCACGGCACTAGCGCCGCTGTACGATCTCTTACAGAAGGGCGCCACGTGGAAATGGACTAATGTGCACAAAAACGCACTGGTCAGAGTGCGGAAACTGCTGGCAGGGGACACAGTCCTGAAGCGGTACGATGCAGAGGCGCCGCTCAAGCTCGTCACAGATAGCAGTGAAGTCGGCGTGGGAGCCGTGCTTCTGCAGCCGGACGAGGAAGGACTGGAGCGTCCGGTGATGTACGCCTCTCGGACACTCACAAAAACGGAGAGGAAATATCCAATGGTAGAGAAGGAGGCGCTGGCGGTGTCCTTCGCTGTCAAGCGTTTCGGTCAGTTTCTCTACGGCCGGAGGTGGACCCTGGTCACGGACAACAGGGCGCTGTCGCGCATCTTGAGTCCGGAGCGCGAGCTGCCAACGCTGGCTGCGGCCAGGCTCCAGCGGTATGCGCTGCAGCTCGCGGCTTTCACCTACGATGTGGAGCTACGTCCATCAGAAGACATGCACCTGGCGGACAGTCTGTCTCGTATGGCAGTGCCAGGCGGAGAGGTCGAGCCAGCGGACGCTGAGGACGACACCAGCGGCGGCTCGTATCTGCTGTTCATGGACGGAGTAGCTCCGGTTCTGACGGCCAAACAACTCGCGGCGGCGACACGCCGCGATCGGGTACTGTCGCGCGTCCTGACGTACGTGCACAGTGGGTGGCCCGGACAGGTGGAGCAGGAGCTGGCCCCGTTCCGTCAGAGGCGGGATGAGCTCTCCACGGACCTGGGATGTCTGCTCTGGGGTGGCAGGACGGTGGTTCCCCACTGCCTTCGGCAACAGGTGCTGGCAGAGCTGCACCAAGGTCACCTGGGCAGCGCCAAAATGAAAGGTGTGGCGCGCCGATACGTATGGTGGCCTGGCATGGACGCCGAGCTGGAGGCCCTGGCGCGTGACTGCGCGGCTTGCATGGAAAAGCGCGGGGCACCACCGCGTGCTGAACTTCACCCTTGGGAACCGACGGACAGCTGCTGGTTCAGGGTTCACATCGACTTCGCTGGACCTTTCCAAGGCTCTTTCTTTTTGATAGTGTATGACAGCTACTCGCGCTGGGTGGAGGCAGTGCCGATGCGTGAGACCAGCACGGAAAGCACGGTGCGTGTTCTGCGCGAAATGTTCGCCAGGTTTGGATTGCCGGTCCAGGTGGTCAGCGACAATGGACCCCAGCTGACCGCCACTGCGTTCTCCCAGTTCCTGAACTCGAATGGGATTCGGCACATCAGGACAGCGCCGTGGCATCCAAGTAGCAACGAGGCGGCGGAGCGCGCAGTTCAAACCGTAAAGAATGGCTTGAAAGCTGCACTCAAGGACGGAGGAACGCTTTCTCAGCGCCTCCAGCGGTTCTTGCTGGCATACCGGGTGGCGCCACACGCGACCACGGGGAGGTCTCCAGCGGAAATGATGTTGGGACGGAACGTGCGAACCAACCTGGACCTCCTAAAGCCGGATGTGCACGTGCGGCAGCGCGAGGAAAAACTTCGCCAGTGGCAGGCCGGTAGGCCAGGTCACAACAGGCAGTTCTCGATCGGAGACCACGTCTGGACACGGGCCTACGGTGGACCGTCCAAGTGGCGGCGGGGCGTCATCACCGCCCGGACGGGCCCGCTGTCGTTCGAAGTGGACGTGGGGAGCGCGATCTGGTCGCGGCACGCCGACCAGCTGCGTCTGGCGGGCACCCAACAGGCTGCTGCAGCGTCCGATGGCGCGGAGGAAATCAGCCGGCAGCCGACGGTGGCAGCACCGAACCGTACTGGACAGGTTCCGGTGGCACCCACAGGGATTGGCGAACCACCGGTGACCATCAGACCGGGGGTCATCGTCGGGACAGGTGTGACCGGCGGGTCGGAAACGACGGTCAGGTCACCGGCCACAGACGGACCAGAGGCGACGGGCAATGATGCTGTGACAGCACCTGCTACCGCTACCGGTGGCAGCCCCGAAGAAGCGCAGGTAGCTGCAGGCGGCGACGCTGGTGCCGAGGAGGCGCAGGTCAGCAGAGGTGGCGGTGCGACCTCATCGGCGACAGGAACAGGAGCTGGATCAGCAACTGGAGGCATCGCTCAGCGTGTTTCCGTCAGGCAGCGGAAGCAGCCGCGTCGCCTCATAGCCGAAATGTGACGGCGACACAAAGTCGTGTTCGACGCGACTGGTTTTGCTTTGAAATAGTTTTAGACGGATGTTTAGTCTTATTTCGGCCAGTTTTTGTGTTGTCTGCTTCGCCACGACTGTCATTCCTGTTGAGGGGGGTAGTGTGTGGTGACGTAGCCCTTGCCCTCTGAACTTTGTGCAGTAGACTAGGTGGCGCTGAGCTCGCTGCGCTCGTGGGCACGGTGCGGCCGTGCAGCAGTCGGGCAGCGGCCCCCGCCGGATACCGATCACCAATACAGGACTACGTTATTCAGAACGCTGTGTGAGATCGCGGACCGAGATCGCGGACCCGAAAGCTGGAACGAACTCAGCCGCGGATACTAGCGGCGTAACATGGTCCAAGAAAGCTGGCACACTACCTTTAAAGTTTCAGGCTGTGTTCAGCTTAGAACAGTGGTAATTTTATCAGAATTAGTTAAAGGGACTATCCCACCTTCTAAAATGTTGTTAAAACCAGTTAAATTGTGCCCGACTTTATAGATTGGATGACCAGGAACACGGTTCTGGCATTTATTTTTCATTAAACATCTTAGGCTTCCCATATTCCAAACACAAACTTTCAAATATGTGACGTCACAGCCCAAAATTACCTCCTTCCCCAGGCCACATTACTGTCATAAAGCTGATTCTTTTTACTCTGTAGGCACCACAACAAAGTTCAGACCAAGTTTTAAGCGATTTTTCAACGAACAAACCCATTTAAATCAGAATGACTAAACGAGGTGACGTCACACTAACGGTCGCTCCATGTTGAAGATAGGGCCTTGTACAAGGCCCATTTTCAAATGAAGGGAACGAATTTCTTCAACACCAAGAGGCCGCGGGGGTTGCAACCTAGATAGATAGTGGTTTCTGAACCTCGCCGCAAACTTGGCTATCTCAACTCAAACCCCATGTTAAAAGTGGGATAGTCCCTTTAATGCATCAGATTAGCCATTTATCGGTCATTGATCAGAGTGGTCTGTTGACTTTCAGGAACCTCGTGAATTTCATTCCTCGGAGATCATTTAAATTGCGTAAAAGCTCCCATTCCAGATTCTATGTCAGTTCAGTGCACTGACCCGGCCGATGTCAGGAAGGTCTCTGCAGTCTGCAGTCTGCTGACGCTCTGCCCCGCCGTGTGTGTTGCAGGGCTCGGGCTGATCCTCCCGCCGCCTGTGGTGGCGCCCGTCCTGACCCGCCGGCCGGCGGTGGCCGCCCCGTGCCCTCCACCGCCGCCCCTGAGCGGCCCAGCCGGCCCCGTCGTCCGGACCGCCTCCCGAAACGGTCTCTGTGTTTCTAGTCTGCATCTGCGGCGCCGGGCGCCACTGTTTCGTTTGCATAATTTATTTAGTGTGGGCCCCAGTGCGGGGCCCGGTGGTGTCCCTGTGCCCCGGTGACCGGCCAGCGTCGGTCACCGGGTGAATCATGGGCCGTTGGCCCCTGGCCGGTCCTTTCCGGCACGGGCCGAGCGGCGTCTCTCAGCGTCCTCTAGCAATACTGGTGTGTCTGTGTATAGCTGTATCGTGCCCTAACCTGCACTGCCTTTACCACAGCCGAGCCAGGCGCCGGATCGGCGGCACGCTTCAACCGCTACTGCTTGTCGCACATACCGTGTAGGCTGGTGCATTGTGTGGTAGCCGCTCAGAGTAGAATCATGTGGCGGACGAACGATCTATAGGCGGTGATCCTCCAAATAGGGACACTTTTGGGATGGGATCATCCCTGCCTGCACTTTCCCCATACATACAGATATAGTGTTGTATGCTTTTTGTGTGACAGTGACCTGAGGTCTTCAGTGTTGATTAAATGTGTCTCTTCATTCTGCTTACAGTGGATAGGTTTAGATGCTTGTTTATTGATATTCACTGACGCTTACTTAGTAGGTATATTCACCGGCAACGGGTAAAACACTGAATCAAATAAACCATACACCGCTGTGTCTTCTGCTCTTTTGATTTGGGTTACTGGCAAGAAGCATCTTATGACAATAGCAAACGTGACCGTTAATTGTGGGTCGGTACACGTCAGAATAAATAACGACCTTCTCCACTCGTACCTTACACCGATAATGCGTTGACTGAAGCGACCTGCCAAGCTCCTACAGGGATTTTGAGCAGCGTCATGCACTGAGCCACATAACTCGCGTCTACACACCCATAGCTATGAAATAAATAAGATGCAGTATGAGTTCAAAATAAATGCAACGCACCGCTCAAGGTAAAATTGCCTCAAACGAGAACCACGCAAGCGCACGGTACCTGCCCGTCGCCTCCGTTCACTCCGTGCTTAACTTCACTGATAGCGATTCTAGTTCCAGCGAGAAGAGGGCGTGGCAGTCGTCTCACGCTTTCCCAAGACGTCCCCCTGCTGCGGCGGCGGACGACGGCTGCTCTGCGATTGGCAGCCACTTACCCTGGTCGTACTGGACGGACGGCGCTGGGCCTCGCGCGTTTTCAGCTTCAACCGTCTGCACACCACGGCCAAATCTCCGTCCGACCGCAGCACCGACTGGGGTTCGAGCGACCTCCCGAGAGCCGCGCCTGAGCCATCTTCGGAACGTCTTACCTACTGTGGACCGAGCTGCTGCCTGAAGCTGCGCGGCCCTGGTTCGGACGAGGGCCCAGTAGCCGCCGGGACCGCTGGATCCCGTGCCGTACCCGCTGAATCCAGTGTCGTATCCGGTGGAACCGTATGCTCCGGCGTCGTACCCGATGGGGCCGCTGGCTCCAGTGTCGTACTCGCCGTACCCTCCAAAGTCGTACTGCCCACCGGTGTTGTAGCCTCCGAGTCCGCTGGGTGCCGTGGGGTTGGTCTGGAGTTTCGTGGCGACGTTGTTCCACATCGAGATGAGCTGACCGGCGCCGATAAGGGTCATGACCAGATTGGCGGCGTTGGGAGGCACCAACGCTATCGCCGCGGCCAAGGCGTCCATCGTCGCGCTTTTGTAGCTGTGCGAAGCTCGCTATTTTCCGAAATTCGTCTAGGTAGCAACTCAGTCCGCCAGCGAGGTGTTCGTCCGTCAATGTTCTGTCTTCTGTCAGTGTCAAACTTCGGAGAACCGTCCTTTGAGCAGCAAAGAACCGTCTTGCGTCAGTCCTTCCCTTGCGCTCTGTCCCTTACCGCACAGTACTCTTGCCTTTGTCACCCAAAGAACCGCACTGTAGGTCCGCACGCCGTCGGTCAGTCCGTTCGGCTCAAGAGAGCTGTCGCCCGTCCGTTTGCCCGTCTTCCACCACCGACACTGCAGCAATGCGTCGAGCAGCAGTGGCTGCTCAGTCAACGTGCCAGATCAGGCACCGGTATGTCACCTCATGCTGTACCTATCTGCAAAACCAGGTCATGAGGCGGAACATAGTGACCGGTGTCAGGTGTGTTTGCAGGGCTACTGCAAGCCATCTGCATAAATTACCGCAATAGCGGCATCCTACAGATGGTTGTCGAATGTCGGCCTGGATATGGTCATTGAAAGTGTCAGCCGTGGGCGTGGAGTCTGCAGCGCCGCTGAGCGGTGAGCGGATCCGGGGGACATACATTTACCGTTGTGCATGTCCGCACTCAGTCTGCACCCCTAGTGGCTACTTCGGCTTTCGTCACTTCCTCCCAAAGCAAGATTACTTTACAAAAAAAAAACTAAAAATGCTGCAAAATTGTCGTAGAATATCTCGTTACGGTCCAAGGGCGGACATCGATACAAGTGGCGCTACTCTAGCGGTAAATCTGAGAACTACTGACCGATCTCTGGTCATGTGACCTTGACCGGCTCCTGAGATTGGGGTCACGTGACACTCGGCCCGTCGGCGACCGCTCCGAGGCGAAAATTCAAGTTTGCAGTGGAACTTTGCATAGACGGACACCAATGACATATGATTCTAGATTAGCATTCGATACAGCGTTTAATTCTACACAGAATTACACTAAATTTAAGAGATTATCTGCCATCACTTCATCGCACTTTTTGTGGAACAGAAAGAATGTCGAGGCGACGTTGCATACTAACGCAATGGGAGTGTAGCAGGGCGGCGTGCGATATGTACAGATTTATTGCTTTTGCCAACAAGCGAGGCAATAGTAAATTGAGTCTAGAATGACATTTGGTACTAAATTTAACGGGCTATTCAATGCTACTAGTTATTCGAAGAATTAAAATAACATCTCGTCGCAGATTTCAATTTGCTTACTCGTTAATATGTCCCAGGTTAGGTATGTACATACCTATTCGGCATTGCTCGTCTGACATTAACCTTCGAGTTTGCATCAAGTTTTCATGTTGATACGTACAATGAAATGTCGATTCTAGATGGCTTTTCAATAAAGTGCTCAATTCTACACAATATGGCACTATTGAAAAGGATAAATCTGCAATCCCTTCACCGCACTATTAGTGGAACAAAAGGATATTGCATATATTTGCGATGGGAGCGGGACGCCGCCGCGAACGATGCATGCTAATTGATTGTTGCCAATAAACAAAGGAATAATACGTTGGTTCCAGAATATTGTCCGGGAACACTTTTTACGGGCTTTCTAATGATACCGGCTATTTGAGGAATGAGAATGATATCTCGTCGCAGATTTTATTTTTCCTACTTGTCTTAATTTGGAGGCCCATGGAGCACTGCTGGCCATACGTAAGCTTTTATCAATTTGTATTGGCATGCACGATAAAATGTCGATTCTAGACAAGCATTCGATACAACGTTCAATTCTACACAGAATGACACCATATTCGAGGGATTATCCGCCATCACTTCACCGCACTTTTTGTGGAACAGAAGGAGTGTCGAGCCGACGTTGCATTTTAATACAATGGGTGCGTCCAGGGCGGCGCGCGATGTGTGCATATTTATTGCTTTTGCCAACAAGCAAGGCAATAGTAAATTCAATCTAGAATCATGTTTGGTACTAAATTTAACGGGCTATTCAATGCTACTACTCAATCGAAGAATGAAAATAACATCTCGTCGCAGATTTCAATTTGCTTATTCGTTAATATTTCCCAGGTTACCTATTCGGCATTGCTGGCCTGGCAGCAATAATCTTCGAGTTCGCACCAAGTTTTCATATTGATGCGCACAATGAAATGTAGATTCTAGATGGCTGTTCAATAAAATGCTCAATTCTACATACAACATGGCATTACCGAAAAGGATAAATCGGCTATCACTTCTCCGCACTATTTGTGCAACAAAAGGATATTGCATATTTTGCGATGGGAGCGGGGCGCCGCCGGGAAATATGCATGCCAATTAATTGTTTGGTGCCAATAAATAAGGGGATAGTATACATTGGTTCTAGAATCGCATCTGGGAACACATTTTACGGGCTATTCAATAATACTGATTATTTGAAGAATGAGCATGATATCTCATCGCAGATTTCATGTGTCCTACTTGTCTTTATTTAGAGGCCCATTGAGCACTGCTGGCTATACATTCTTCAATTCTTCTATCAATTTCTTATTGGCGTGCACGATAAAATGTCGATTCTAGACAAGCATTACATACAGCGTTCAATTCTACACAGAATGACACCAGATTCGAGGGATTATCCGCCATCACTTCATCGCACTTTTTGTGGAACAGAAGGAGTGTCGAGCCGACGTCGCATTTTAATACAATGGGTGCGTCCAGGGCGGCGTGCGATGTGTGCATATTTATTGCTTTTGCCAACAAGCAAGGCAATAGTAAATTCAATCTAGAATCATGTTTGGTACTAAATTTAACGGGCTATTCAGTATTCAATGCTACTAATCAATCGAAGAATGAAAGTAACATCTCGTCGCAGATTTCAATTTGCTTATTCGTTAATATTTCTCAGGTTACCCATTCGGCATTGCTGGCCTGACAACAATAGTCTTCGAGTTCGCACCAAGTTTTCATATCGATGCGGAAAATGAAATGTCTTTTCTAGTTGGCTTTGCAATAAAGCATTCAATTCTACACAGTATGGCACTGTTGAAAAGGATAAATCGGCTATCACTTCACCGCAGTATTTGTTGAACAAAAGGATGTTATACTCGTATAGTTTCGCGAGGGGAATGGGGCCCCGCCACGAACGATGTATGCCGTTCGATTGTTTGCTGCTAATAAACAAGGGAAAAGTATCCTGGTTCTACATATGGAATCACTTCCTAGATTATGTTCTACGGGGTATCAAATGATATTAGTTATTCGAAGAACAAAAATGACATACCGTTGAAGATTTTATTTTCCCTACATACCTATTGGAATTCGAACGCTCATAGAGCATTACTTGACAGACCTGCAAATACAAAGCCTGGCCAACAAAGCACCATGAATCTCCAAATAAAGACAAAAAGAAAATGAAGCCTGCGACCAGATACCATTCTCATTCTTGTAATAATTAGCATCATTGAATAGCTAGCAAAATTTATTCCAGGACACAATTCTACATACCAATTATTATGTTTGATGGCAAGAAACATCAGTCGGCATATTTTCGCACGCGGGACCCGCCAGGCTCCCGTCACGAAAATATGCGACATCTTATTGTTTCACAGAAGTGCGGAGGAGTTCCATCATATTTTTCCTTTTTAATAACATTATACTGCGTAGAAATTAGTGCTTTATCGACCAGCTGTCTAGAATCGACGTTTTATTTTGCACGTCAATAGGAAAACTTGATACTGAAACTCAAAGTTTATTGTTGTCAGGCCCAGCAATGCCGAATGAGCCGCGAACTATGAACAAGAAAGTTGAAGGCTGCAACAAAACAGCGTTCTTGTTCTTCGAATAATAAATAGCATTAGATAGTTCAACAAATTTAGTATCATGCATGATTCTAGATTCAATTTATCGTTCCCTTTCTTCTTGGCAAAAGCAACAAATCTGCACACAGTACACGCCGCTCTGAAAGGCTCCCATTGCGTTAATATGCAATGACGGCCCTTCTGTTCCACAAAACGTGCGATTAAAATAT